ACGCGGGCCCGGTGTGGGCTCGACCCCGGGGTGAGGGCTCCGGGCTGGTGTGTGGACGCGGGGCCCCGTGGGAGCCGTGTGAATTCGGACTCATTAGTGGGGACCCTGGCAGTATGGACCCTTTGGTAGGAGCTGTATCTATATGGGCCCGTCGCTAGGCATGGCCTGTCACATGCTCGGTTAACTTTATAATTCATTTAGTGGGTTGGCTTTTCCATCGATCCAAATTCCTCTTTCTTTGCTAACACCCCATCTATGAGTTTCAATAACATAAGTCTTTTTTTTGCACATAAAAAGCTGCACTTAATTGATGTATACACGTTGAGTTCGGAGATAAGTGTGCACGGGAAGCCATTACAGTGTAGGCCATAATCATGTCCATCACCTCCAGAAGTTTCCTCCCACCCTCTTATTATTTTGTGATAAAAACACCGTCAGAGCTGCCCTCTCCGCAAGCTTCGGAGTGTCCCGGCGCTGCGCTGCAGGCCTCAAGGGCACACTCACCCCGCACAACCGAAACTACCGTTTGACTAACGCCACCCCCAGCCACCATTCCACTGTTTCTCTGACTTTATTTCAGATTCCCTATGTGAGTGGAGTCATGTATTTGTCCTGTGTCTGCCTCATTTCACTTAGCATAGTGTCCTCCAGGTTCATCCACATGGTCACAAATGGCAAATTTTCCTTTTTGAACTCCCACGGCATGTATACACTATATTGCTATCCACTCAGCCGTTGATTTACATGGCTTCTGTATTGCGGGCTTTTGTGAATAATGCTGCAGTGAACATGGGGTATGGCTGTCCCAGAGATCCTCATTTCATTTTCTTTGGGTAAATAAACACCCAGAAATGGGTTGCAGGGTCACATGGCAGTTTTATCTGGTCTTTTGAGGAACCTCCATACTGTTTTGCGTAGTAGCTCCAGCGACTGACATTCCTATCAACAGTACAGAACACAGTCTTACTACGGGTAAAATTGAAACGGATTAAGTTAACGCCGAATATAACAAGATAAGTAGAGTGCTGGTTCAGAAATTATTTCTTCATAGGGTATACCTTAAAAATTGTGGGAAGATTGGACAGGGAGGAATTTGTATGTATGTGCGCAAACATGTAACTGTGTCCGTGAATTTAGAACACATAAAACTTGTCAAGCCTAGGCCTTAAAACAATAAGCCGTTTCATGCCTGAGCTGGAAGGGCAGGCTGCTCAGATATCTTCAGAGCCGCCGAACAGATTCCTCTGTGTGGGGGGCTGCACTCGAAGGTGCTGGGTGCAGCCTGGCTGGGTGGAGAGCTGGTGCACCTCTGATCCCCCTCAGGCGGGGACACAGATTCTTGGAGAAAGGCAGGACTAGGAGGGCCACCTCCAGGACTTGCCTCTTCTGACATTTTTCAAGAGAAGCTGGAAATCCGAACATTTTTTAATGTGAACCTTGTAAAATTTGAAAAAGTTGGCAACTAATTAAAAATATTGAAACACTGTGAGGCTCAAAGAAATGGTGTGGGCCACTGACGTGCGATCTCCACTGTGTTTCTAGTGGTCTTATTATTACAGTGCTGACGGAAGAACAGCCAAACCTGTAGAAAATTTTTATAATAATTTGAGCCAAGCAGAGGATACGACTGAAAACAAGATTTCCAGACGGAGAAAAATGCTTCCCAGAAATGACAGTTTTCTGTCATTTTTTTGCATCTGGAATTAAGGAAGGGACGTAAGTACTGTCACATGGAGATGGGAGGAAGCAGGGCGGGGATGGGGTTACCGGACCCTTAGGATTGTGGCTCTCACGCTGGAGAAGGAGGGGTCTTGCGGGTGGTCTCACTTTAGAAGGAGGGGCGTGGAGGGGGCATTTCAAAGGGGTGATAGCTTGGGTGCACAGAAACAGTGGACAGGCTTCCTGAAGGCGAGAGAAGCCTTTAACTAAAGAAGTGACAGGCCTGGGCCTGACCAGCCAGCTCAACCTGCCCAGGTGGGGATTGACGATCTGACCTCTATGAGGTCACTTTCTGCACCCTGTTTTTGTCCACAAAAGAAAAATATTTGCAATCTTGAAGAAGATGTGGAAAGCTGGTTCTGAATTGAAACAACTGACCTCATACTAACATTTTTCTTATTTTTGTATGTTTATGCCCAAGAAAGCTTTTTAAAAAATATTTCCTCATATCTTACTAACCTCTAAATTAATTGGGCTCAGTCTGCACTGGTGAGGAACCCAGGCTTTGGGATCAGACCTGGGCTTGGGTCTTGGCTCCATCATGAAGATGATGCATCTAAACTTCACTGTATTTTCTGTGAAATAACTTTGGTATGAGTCGTTTTGAAAACATGACACAGTTGTCATTGGAGGGGCAGGACTCAGTTTTTGGTGAGTACAGGGCCTTCAGGGTGACTTCCTGCCTTTCTGCAGCTTTGAGTTGAAGTGGGACTTTTGTGGCCCCTGCAGAGCCCCACCGAAAGTGCAGGAACCTCGGTGAGGCAGCTGGCCCCTGTGAGCTCAGCACCGTGGGTCAGAACTGTGTTCGTGCGGTTTTAGAGGGAACTGTTGGTGTTCGCTTGCAGCTCTTTGATTCAAAGCCTTAATCTAGAACACAAAACTTATGTTTTAGAAATATGCAGTATGTCAATGTCAGCGAATTCATCATTGCAGCTTTTATGGCTAAAAAGCATCTGAAGACAGCCTTGGAGACCCTGGCGACTCTGGCACAGGTGGCGGCCCCACCCTGTGTAGGCGTCCAAGTGGTTGCCAGGTCTCAACTGGAGTAGGAGTAAATAGCTCCTCTGAGAATGTTCTGAGGTTTATTATTATTATTATTATTAATGCCCACAGCACCTGGTCTTCCTAGATGGTCTCCCATCCAAGTACTAACCAGGCCCGACCCTGCTTAGCTTCCGAGATCGGAAGGGATCGGACTCGTTCAGGGTGGCTTGGCCGTAGACTATGGACCGTGGCTCTGCTGGGGGCGCGAACCCCGGACCTTCTGCGTGTGATGCAGACGTGCTCACCGCTCCACTCTGGAACCACATCCTAGAGATGTTTTTATTTGTTGGGCCTCCAGCACCGAGGTTTTTAAATCTGGGTTTCCCCTGCTCTTGTCCACTGCTTCTCCTCCCCTCACTCGTCCCCCATGTCCTCCAAAGGCAGGGGAACAGCGTCCTTGTCCCTCGCGTCCAGGCGCAGCTCTCCCGTCTGGTGTGCGGCACCTGGCCCGAGTGCTCCGTGCTGAGCTTGCTGCGCGTTTCCTGGCTGAGCGTCCTGACCCCAGCTGTCCCCGGCCCTCCACGCCCAGGCCCGTCCGCGTCTCCCCAGGCCCTCCCCGTGGGCGGCAGGGCCCTCACTGCTCCCACAGGGACACCAGGGGCTGCCGGTCTCTTCTGCGTTCTCGCCTTCCTTGGCAAGCACGCATTCCTGATTTCCTGGCCGTGTTTAACCACCATCCCCTCTTCAGCTCACCCGTGTCTCTTGGTCCCTTGCATTTCTGGGTCAAGGGTAAATGATAAGAGTGCTGTCATTTTCGATGAGCGGCCAGGGACATCATGGCCCTTTCTCGTCTCCCATTTGTCTTGCCTGTGGCCCTTTCTCGAGGGGTTGTCTGGGGACCCATTTCGAGCTAGGAAGGAGCCGGCCCACAGGGTCTACTGAGTCTTGGCCGCGGGGTCCTTGGCCTTGTCTCCCTCCAGCAGCGGTTGCTGCGGAGTTCGGGTGCTATGTGAGGCGGCTGGAGTGTGGAGTGTGAGCTGGCGGGGATTCCGCCCCAGAGGCCGAGCTTTGTAGTTGTTCCCTGAGTCGGGGCTGGTCAGTGTGGCTCGGAAGGCTGGTTACTGTGAAGATGCTGGGCGCCGGGGTGGGGGGTGGATGCCTGCACAGCTTCCACCCCCGTCGAGTACGGTCTGGGCTCCCTCCCTCTGGGGGGGCCCCGCCCTGCCTTGGACAGCTCACTGTTCCCTCCAGTGCTGGGCAGCTGACGTCATTTGCACACTGATAAGTACGATAAAAACGAAGTTCTGAAAATGTTTCTTTGTTAGCAAGTTTTTATCTTCTCTACTTTCTAGTCTGTATCTAGTCCTAATTTGTCATTCTCTGCTAATAGCATTAAAACAGTTTTTTCTTTAATTGTGGCAAAATATACATAACATAAAGTTTACCATTTTAACTATCTTGAGGTGTGTGGCTCAGTGCCACTCCGCACATTCACGATGCTGTGCAGATGCTGTGCAGCCACCGCCATCCTCTGAGCCTTCCTGTCTCCTGGACTGACCCTCGTCCCCATCAGACACGCACTCGCCACTCCCTCCACAGCCCTGGTCGCCTCTGTTCTCCTTCCTGTCTGCAGAATCGGACTGTTCGTGTTCCTGTTATTCGCACATGTGGGACCATACAGTATCTGTCCCTTTACGTCTGCCTTATTTTATTGAGCGTACTGGTCTCCAGGTCCGTCTGTGCTGCAGCATGGGTTGGCATCCCTTCCTTTCGAAGGCTGAATGACCCTCTGTCGTGCGTGGAGGTGCATTGTGTGCAGCCGCTTGCTCTCGTCTGCGTGGACAGCGTCGCGTGGCTGTGCTGGTCCTGCTCTCACGCCTTGTGGCCATGTACTCCTAGAGGTGGGTCGCCAGGTCCTGCGGTGTGCCCGTGTTGGCTTCTCTGAGGGGCCCCAGCCGCTTCCCACAGTGCTGCTCCGTTTAACTTGTCTGCCAGCAGCACACAGTGTCCTAGTTTCTTCACGTCTGGATAACACTTATTTTCTGTTTTTTTTGTGTTTTTTTTTTAACCCTCTGCATGGGTGTGAAGTGGTATCTCACAGTTTTAATATTTATTTCTCTAATGATCAGCGATGTTGAGTATCTTCTCGTGGGCTTATTGGCTATTTGTATGTCTTCTTTGGAGAACTGTCTATTCTATGTCCTTTGCCCATGTTTTAAATTGGGTCTTTTTTTGTTGTTGAGTTATAAGAGTTCTTTTTGTATTCTGGATGTTTATGTCTTACCAGGCAGACGCTTTGCAAATATTTTCTTCCACTGTGAAGGTTGCCTTTTCACTCCCTTGAGAGTGTCCTTTGATGCACAGTAGTCTTTGATTTTAATGGAGTCTCATTCATCTATTTTTTCTTTCGTTGCCTCTGTTTTTTGTGGGATGGCGAAGAAATCATTGTCTAGTCCAAGGTCATGAAGATTTTCTCCTCTTAGAGTTTTACAGTACTGGCTCTCACGTTTAGGTCTTCGATCATTTTCTGTTGATGTTTGTATGTGGTGTGAGGTAAGAAGCCAGCTATGTTGTTTTACACGTGGACACGCATTTCCCAGCACCACTTGTGAAGGGACTGTCCCCATACCCTGGCAAGCAGTCTTGGAGCCCTCATCGGAACACTAACCGACCACTTCTATGAGAGTGCAGTGGCGTGTTTTGTTTTTTTTCTTTTGGTGCCAATTTAATTTTTAAAAAAGATTTGCAAAAGGTAAAATAAACTCTCGTGTTTTTTTGGTGTACAGTTGTTTGAGTTTTAACATGTATACATTTGTGTGCCTGCCCCCACAATCAGCACACAGAACGGGCCCGCCCCGCCCGCCCCGGTCGCCTTTCTCGGGTACACCCTTCTCCCGCCCCGGCAGCCGCTGACTTTTCTCCGTCACTGTGGTTCGTCTTTTGCAAAACCTCGTATAAATGGATGCTCTCGGCACGGTTCCCTGGACGTTCACCCAGGTGTTTTTTGAATCTCCGAGTTGTACTCTGTCCTATGGATGGACCATAGTTTGCTTGTCTGTTCATCCGCCGAATGTCTTTTGCATTGTTTCCAGTTTTTGACAATTGAAAATAAAGCTGTCATTTAAATGTGTGTGCAGGTGTTTTGAGTAAACATGTTTCGTTTCTCTTGGGCAAATACTTAGGAGTGGGATAGTTGGAGCCCACAATAAGCGTATAACTTTCTGAGAAACGTCCAGATGCTTTTCCCGGAGTGGCTGTGTGGGTTTCCCTCCGTTTCCCCAGACCCGGGGCAGGATTTGTTTACGAGTGCTTCCTGTGCACAGCTCTGGGATGCGGCTGCTTCTGAGTTCTGGCCAGGGGATGCAGAAGGACAAGTGACAAGGGAAACCCAGCTGCAGGGGGTCTGCTGGGACTCTGGTCTCCTTCCATGCCCCTGCCGTGGCCACTGAGGTCTCAGGCGCCTGGTTCCTCGGGGACCTTAGCTCTTGCAGCGGGACGATGGTAGTGCTCACCACGTCCTTGCCAGAGCAGCCTCCTGGGCACAGCCCTTCTGCTGTCATTTCGTGTGCTGGGACCGAAGGATGGATCTTTGGCGATACTTAAAGATGCATACCACGAGCTGTGCTGTGCAGACATGAGCACCTACTTTAACCCTGTGCTCTGCCTTGTTGTGCCCTCCAGGACTTGGGACCTTCGTGGAGTGACGCTCT